ACACTGACAACAAGAACAGACCCACAGAACTGACTGTAAAGACAGAAGACAAGAGTCAGGCAACAGATCGTTTATTAATGAAAATCGACACATATTTATAGATTTTAATGTACATTATTGTAGATTATTGTTAGTAGAAAATACAGTCTTTTCATTGGTTGTTTCTAACAGAAAGTTAACCTTGCATCTCTTGTGGCTGTGTCAGAACATCCATATGCTAACTGTATCCGCCTACGCAAAGCCTGCTGTTCATCTTTGACCTTGTTTTCACATGACTAATATTTGAGACATAAACACTGACGTCAATTAGTGTCTACCAATTTGGCCAGCAACCATCTCTCACCACATGCCCACCAGTGGACCCCAATCCTCCGACAAAAGCAGAGGTCTTAAATTTGACGAAGTTACTGAAGTCCAGGCACAGGTGAGGCGATTTTGAGTCCTTCGTATCATTATTTTTGAAAAGAGTGAAACACGAATAATAGAATTTTCGCTATTCTTGGAGCGTTTTGTGACTGTGTGCGTCCCAAGGGATTTTATTCACGCATAAAGATGCACGCAGAAATAGCTTTCCTGAGTTCCGAACACGAGCCCGTTTGGGGAGCTTTAGTTATCAATTTTCATACTGAGAAAATATGATTGGCAGATGCTCAATGAAGATGTCTACAGATCATGTTGTGAACGAGGAGAATGTGGATGAGCATTCAGGAAGGCGACATGTCCTATGAGAATGATGACAATGAAGACTGACAAATACGATGAAGTAGTCGATGGTGAGCTAGACGACGGAGAGATAGATGATGTTCATGTTAACGAAGGCGATAGTCAAGAGGAATACGTTAACTACGATAGTGATGACGACGAGAAAGAGGAGGCAGATGACATGACAACTCAAATTGCTATGAAAACTAAAAGTGCTAATCTTGACCCTTTCTTTCTAAAACCAGCCTCCCAATATAAGAGTGAAGAAATTACTCCAAAAGTTCCCACTAACTTGACAGAAAGAGTGACTTCAGAGAACAAAGCTCAGGGTGACAAGCACAATAAAACTGAGGCAGGATATGTGACCATAATGAACTGTACTCATAACATCGATAGTTTGAGTTTGAAGAAACGGCTAAAGTTTGTTAAGCTAAGGTTCCAAATAAAGCCAATCGAGATGATACCTATGGTTAAACCAGATAGCAGTAGATCACTTTCGAATATGTTTGTCAGTGGGGTCACCAAATCCAAGACTATTTAGCAAATGAACGTTTGCCTCAAATTGGAAGTCAGCCTGTCTTCCTTAAATTGCTTGACAAATCACCTATTATCAACAACGCGACTACTTTATTCTCTTCCCCTCATATCGCCATAAAGATGTGTGAAATATTCAGAACTTCGAAGCTAGTTGACTCGGTAGTCTGATTTGTGAATAAAAAAGATACGTTTGTGCAGATTGAACACCTAGTTCTCAACAGTCGTGCACTCTGTTTCCCATTGTGGCTGGAAGCTTATCTATTGAATGAACTAAGACGTGAGATTTCAGCTGCATATTCACCATCCGATGGCCAACCATCGCTAAATGTCTCAAGACGTCTACACATCCTTCTAAGATAAAGGAAATCTCCGATAATACAATGTTCTTTTCTGTTGATATCTACAGTCTGGATTATGGTATACTTGATGGATGCTGCGTATATATTTCAATTGTTTCCCCGCTCATTTGTTTATCCTCACATACTGCTGTTACAACATCCTCTACTAAAGCATTGCCTTATTCCTTCGTCAGACATCAGTAACAATGTTCCTCGTATCAATGAGTCTAAAGCGTCTTTGGATAATAAACTCTCCCTCTCCAAATTTCAAAGGTTGCTGCTCATCCTGAGAGTAATTCATCTCTTTTGTCTTCAGTTTCATTGAATTCATCAATTTATCAAGGATTACACGAGAAATCACTAACTGATGACAATGTATATTTATCTGCAACGCATAAGCACTTAGAAGGTTCAGGATATAATTGTTCTGATGATTCTTCATACCTACATGACATCAATCATCTTCTTCTTCGGCGACTTTGTACTTCATCTATTGTTGGTGACGATATTATATCTCGAATAAATATTTAAAGTATACCATGTGTAATCGTGTGGAATTGACACAGGAATATCTCACTTCGGATACAAAGTCCAGCTAGAATGATTTAGTTTGTTATCTTTGGCCGATATTCCCTAAGCATTTCAATCTTAGTCTAATCAGTTGTCATGCAGCTTTATTAGAACCATTATACTTGAAGTATAGACATATTATGAAGGAATTAAATTCTGAAATTCAAAAATCTGATATGAAATCTGATCAGCAATCTATGCCACATATATCTGTTGAACAACATGAACATATACTAGATGTCGATAATTCGCACTTTATAAATGATAATATGCTCTCGTCACGTGAGAAAACTTCACGTTTACTTGCAACCATTTACATCATCTGATGATCCCACTGGTTAGACAGCTTGTCTTGGCTTAACTGCACTAATGCTTGACACCAGTTTATTTAGGTAGAGTCTCCATGCTTAGGTAAAGTCAGCTTAAAATACGTGTAATCGAATTCCACTAAACAAGAGCCAATTATATGTGTTCTTCTTTGCCAGTAGAACTCTTGAATCATCCAGCAGATTTTGTTCCTCAGAGTATGAAAGATGTTGTGAAAAGGGGGATTACAATGACATTGCCTTCTTCATTTAGGTTAAGGTAGGATTATGCAGGCGTACTGTTGTAAGTTCTGGAGACCAGAAGTAAGAGACAGAGACACGACAGAATACTTGAACAGTTGTCTTAGAGTGCGAAGGGATTTGAGTGGTCGGTGTAACGGAAATATTGTTCCGAAAATCCATCCTGAACCATCGAACGACAACATCTGTCGTTTTTCTGACATTGGAATATCATACATCGAAATAATGCTTACCATTTGTCCTTATCGCTCTTCAATCTGCAATTTTAATGCAACTGTTTGCGGTTGTGTAATACCCTATTATATTTATCAGGTTTCGTAATCATGATATTAGGATTTTCCCATAGCTCTTTCAAGGCTTTGAAATGTTGGGAATTTAAGATGCTTTTCTCCTTTGGGTTGTTGTTTAAAAACTGATGAGCTATATCCACCATCTTGGCCTTAAACCAACCCCGATCTTCATCGGATGTTGCAGCAAGAGGTTTGAGTTGGTCATATAAGTTTTCAAACTCAGCATGTATGGCTAAATCCGTAAAGTGCGTGCGAGGAACACAAAATTTGAGTCCAAGGGATAATGCTTCTTTCTGATGAGTAGATATAGTAACATCAGAAAGATTTGTAACATACTTATCAGGATTCACCGGAAAGACATCTACGCGGTTTCGATCATCAATTGAACTCTTCAGCTTATTTTGTATATTCGTCTTAGTTTTCTGAGTAACGTCTTTACAAAACTGAAGAAATCTCATGTGGCATATTATTGATAATTCAAATAAAATAAGTGACGCATCGGTATGAAGAACAAATTACTTATTTTATATTGTATGTTTCATAAAATCAGGATTTTCATTATGATAACAAGACAGAGGTAGGTCAGTCTCATCACTTTTCCTTGTGATGTGAACTCATCACCGCCTCAATCCAACGACCTTTTAAATTGATTATTCAGCACTTTTGCTTAATTTTTGTACATGCCTGACCAACTAACTGACAAGTGATTAATTGTCAGGTCTGATTTATTGTAAATGTTACATGGATGAATAGTACTCGTTGTTTTCAAATGATTATTGAGAGAGAGAGGCAGTGAGAGTTAATAAAATTTCATCTTTTGCCTGAGCAGTGTTCATCATTCAAACAACTACTACACCAACTAACTAACACTAATCGGTGCAATTGTGTGATTACTGGTCGGTCAATTAGTAATCAGGCCAGTTTAGTCTTACTTGATAAAAAAAGATTCAGTTAATGTGGACAATATAAGGTGGTGGAATACAAGCAATTCTAATGGCTTTTAGAAAAATTAAATAATAACTAATACCCGTTACCCGTTGCACACAAGAGGATGGATGGCACTCGTCGCCCAAGTAAGTGGCTCAATGGATGATAACACTTTAGTCTTTGTAACTGTGGCTACTGGGTGGGTGTGTTCAAGCCTCCTCAGTGGAGGGAACACCATCACTCGCTGAGGAGGGATGCAGATACAGCCAGTTGATGAGTCGATCCCAAATAGGACGAAACGGTGTGTGTGTGGGTAGGTGGGTGGAGGTGGAAGGGTTCCACTGCTAGTCACCATCACTCACCAAATTACTTCAAATTCTTAACCAAGTTTGGAAATACTAAAGTTGTTAGTAATTATGAACATGTGAATGCCTGAAATCTACTATCCTATGCTTTCATGCCATTAATCCAAGGTTATGGTTAAATGCATAAAATGTTACATGTCTGGAGATAATCAAGGGGAATCCCTAGGTCTGGGTGAAAGGAAACACATACATAGGTAACAACGCCTGTACTTTTGATGGACAGTAATAAGTGTATTCGGGACAATAAATACATCTATACCATTATAAAGTGATTTTGTATCGCTCCATCTAAGATCTCCAACCATTGACCCTTATTAACGTCAAACGTTGATAGCAGTAACAGTAGAGACACGACAGGTTGTAGGTTAGATTACGAACTGACGTCAGTTGGAAGCCTATCGGAAACCAGTGTGTCAACTGTCCAAACCGGGCAACATCTGCTGGCAGAAAACTAATCGCTGTCTCCGATTACTATGTACGGTAACCAACTCGAAAATACCAGAAAACAGATCGGCGATTCGCGGATTGTTTATTTCTCCACTGAAAAATTTACCAGGACTACAGGGTTACTACAGCACATATCACAATATTTCTGATCTTTTTTTCTCCAGTCCTCTGCCAAACAGCGTATGATTACGTCACGGCCTCCAATGTTTCCCGCTCCCTCTCCGCACCGCGAAAATGGAGATCTGTTCGAATAGACAAACCATATGTTGTTTATTCAATATTGACACAGAGATTTCGACCCTCTGTCCCTTTGAGGGCATAGTTACTTATTGCCAGTGTCTTAGACTGTGACGAAACAACTGTCCAATACACTTTTTGGTTTTCACTGGCTCTTTCAACTGATGTCAGTTTATAATGGAATTTAAGTGTGTATATCGTCCTGAAACCCCAAAATGGTCAGAATGTTAGTGTATATTATCAGATTGAATAAAGTCTCAATTATCGAAAAAAATATTGTGTATACCTACACCTGTCTGTAAGCAGCCTATACTTTGAAAGAAAACAACAATCCATGGTACTAAGAGTGTAATACTCTACCTTTATTTGTTTGTATTTTGCAATTGTTGAGTAGTATTCATAATTGTTAATCCCTCTCTCTCTCTCTCTTTATCTTTTGCATTGTTTGTCTTCATTCTCCAATTTCATTTCCCGATTGTTTGTGTTGTTTGTTGTCGTAGATGAGCCAGCGCCTACACGTCAAACATCCAATCAACTTGTCAAAACTCATTTGAATGATTTATGTAAATCAAGAGTTTGGAGTGATCTTCAACATAGTCTTAGGTGAGTTTCATCTTGCACTGAGTGAAGGTAACAACAACAACAACAACAACGTTGGTGTTTAGTAATAGCTGACTGTCAGTCGGTAGGTCCTGGCTTCGACTCACATTCCATCTACTTTAAACTGAGCAACTAGACAGTCCATGGAGTAATTTGTCCCCGATAGTTGAGTTGTAATCTAACTGGGTAGAAGACTGCGATGTATTATTCAACGTCTGCAATTCATTCTAATAACTGATAAGGATGATTCATGCTGCCCCTTCACTCACTTCGGCGTACAATAACCAACCAACCACTGATCGTTTTGAATATGTGTGTTTAGGTTATCATATAGAGTTCTATAGTTCAGTGGTCTGCACTAAATTTCAGACAGCTCTATGAAATCTAGGTTTCGTGCTTATTCACAGTTGTTGGTTGGCGTTATTCTGCAGTCCTGGAGGAAACAATGTTCTCATTGGTGTTCAAGAGACGGTATCGTCGAATCTAAAGAATAGTGGCCGTGGAGTGCGAACGCATCAGTGACTTTGAAGGCATACCATCCGTCGTTATTGCATAACCTGTCGTTGTTAACAGCACCCCAGTATGAACGTGGTGCGAAACATTGAGGTGCAGATTTTATCCCGATCTCATTTTTAAGTATCGTTTGGATAATGGGTGGTTAGAATTATTCTGTGGTCTACCTATTCATATTAATTTTCAACGGGGAGTTTAATCATGTCCTTCAGTTCTGAGCAAGTCTGATTACTATCGCAACAGCACCAGAAGCACTCTCATCCAAATGCTCACTAATTAATAAGTTGTCTTTTCAATCATCTTGCCATCCCATCCCTTCCTATGCCATCTCCATACCTATACTATTCACTATTCTGTGGAAGAAGTATACAACAGTTTATCACTTGAGGCATTATTTGAACAGTTTGCCTTCAATAAAACCATGCAAATTAAAGTTAAAAATCAAACAGAGAATAAAGAATCTGGACTACCATAATGCATCGAGTTCTATCTGTGCAAAATCGGGAAGTATGATCAGTCGAAGTGTAAAGAGTTCCACTCCAGTTTCTTTTATCTCAGAGGAATGGAAAGAATCCTCTCTCTATAAATATCTATACAGGCGCTCTTATTCGATTTGACAGGAAGTTTCACGACGTTGTTTCTTTCCATCAGTTACAGTCCGAAGAATGAAAAAAGTCTACTCTTTGTGTAGGCACCAGAATCCGCCACATAAAAGCTTCTTCTAAAGAAGATGAAGCGTTGAATGCAGATGGTATTAAAGTTGCAGCTGTAGCCGAATTTCTACTCGACAAATGAGTTTGAAGAATGATTGAGATGGTTGTATTGCTCTCCAGTTACCAAGTGATGATCCTGTGGTGAGAGCTGGCTACAAGCCAAAATTCTAAACAACAATTTACGTCAGTGTTCACTTCCTGAATCGGGGTCATGAGAAAAACAATAACAAAGTTTAACCTTGAGAAAGTCACCAACCTGGGCAGATACGATTCGCAGATACATGACCGGAGTGTCTGAGAAACGGCCACAAAGATATGACAGGATAACCTTCAGCAAGAAAACAACCAATCAGAAGACGCTCGCCTCTCCGCTAACAATAACGAATAATAATGTACATAAAAATCTATAAATACCTCTTGATTTTCCCAATAAACAAACTGTTGCCTGGCCCTTGTATTCTGTCGTTTCTATCCTACGCTGTTTCTTGGGGGGGGGGGGCGAATTAATAGTCGAAGAGTTCAAAGACCTACAAAGTACCCTTTCAGTCAGTGGTCATGTTCTTTTCTCTGAAAGAAAGACATTCCAGTTTTTCATTTATCACTCATGCTGCATATATTTATTGACTCTACCAATTATCTACATCAGTTGACATTGTTGTCCACTATTCTTCACACTACGGGTGTCATCAACTTTTCTGATTTTTCACTTGTTTCTTTGAAGGGATTTGACTGATCTCGAGATTGATCACGATTTGACAGCAGTTAGAGCATCTTTGAAAACTAGGGGGTGTTGTACAGCTGTTTTGTTGTTGTTATTGTTGTTTGTGTACCTTAAGCTTACACACCTATGTCGCCGCCGGGAATTGAACCCGGAACGTTCTGGTTACAACCCGAGCTCCTACACCACTCAACCATTGGGACAAAACCCAGTTGTCCATAAATCTAACTCCAACCATTCGCGATATATATGACGCAGTCGCCAGTCAATATCTTCAGCGAGCAGTTAGGCTCACAGAACTCGGTGGGACGCTCTGGTCATGACCTCTTCAATTAAAAACGTCGGCCAACTTCATGCTGTAATGAGTCACCAGTGAGCACTAAATTGAATTTCATCTGTAGGTCTTAGGGATTCGATTGATTTAAACGTTGAACTGGCCTTGTGTAGGCTTGAAGGTTGTGGGTCCTATTCTCGGTGAGAACATGGATTAGTACTGTTGTATTTTCCCAAACAAGGAAGAAATGACTGTCCAATGCTCCTTGGAGAACTAATTATAACTGGAGTTTAGACTTTAGCTCCTTAGTGGAACTTTGGGCTTTCCAGGCTTGAGCTTTGGAGTTTCATTAGCAGCAGTGCTGTTTGTTTTTCACGATGTAGGGTTGCTAGCCTCACTCACACCCAACTTTCCCGCTATTTACCGGGCTTACTGCCGGTTAAACCAGTTCTAGAAGTACGTCAGCTGGGGATCATCGATCGAGTCCCGGACCGCATGGGTGATCGACGAGTATTCTACCACTAAGTGACTTGTTGGAATACCTGGGCGTTTATCCAAGTAGCTCTGGCATGCTAAGAGGCGAGCTTTCTGCCACTTGACCAAGTGCGCCCCTCTACTACTTTAATTGTATGTGAGATACCCTTCCATTTTATTTTGCTTAATGTGTTAACCAACCTTACCGTGTGTTGTTTTTCCTGTTTCTTATTTTCTCCTAGTATGGCTACTTGGTGGAATGAAAATGCTAAAGGTTAGTTTTATACAAAAACACTATTTTTTGATAATTCATTTTGGAATGAATGAAGGATGGCACAGTTTACAAATTTTATCACAGTTTGCTGTAGAAATAATCGTGCAATTAGAATTGGTTTCTTTGATTATTCCAAAGGGAACCCATCGAAGTGAATGGTCACTTCTACTATGTGTCTATGTAATTAATTGGTCAACCGCAAATTCGATTCTATGTAACGTCATCGTCGCCTTAAAATGCTAGCCAGAATTTGTTTGGTTTTTGAACTGACTCGGCTTTGTTAACTGAATCTAACCGCTTACACATTGGTCAATGAAGAGCTCGAACCGTAAACTGACGAAACGGACGTCCTATGTGTGTGCATCACTTCGATCACTGGGAAGCTGTTACGTCCTACTTCCATAGTAATTGGTCAGTCTACACCCAGGAAATACAAATTGACGTAAATAAACAGTTATGACATCCTGTTTAAATTTCCTTACAGGAGATTGATTGAGTTTCCTAGGATGCTATGTGTATACGAGCTGTTCATAATAACCTTTGTTTGGCAGTATGTGTTATTCCATATATCAACCCATATGACTGGTGATCAGGCGAACGTTGTGTGCTTTAGGAAGTGTGTGGGTGGTTGTCACTTCTCGATTACCCACACCATGAAATTTGATTTTTCCTTGGAAATACCTCTAAAAGTAAGCGCATTAGTGTTGTGTAACCTCAGCCATGGGGACAGCAGTTTCAGACCGGTCATACATGACCTTCTTTGAATTTGTGTTTTAGGATTGTGTTCGTGTTAAGAACCTACCACTGTGTAAGGTAAGTCGGGATTTACAGTCTTCGAGGACGATCTTTTCTAGCCTCCTACTTACCACCCAGAGTGAAAAGGCAACATTGTTGACTTGCTGGTCATCTGAGGTAAACTCCTTTCTCTCCTGTTGACATCTCTACTCGTTAGCAGCACGACTTCGCCAAAACAGTGTAATCCGTCGTTGGGTCATTGCGATATATGTGCAAACCTGACCATCACTTCAAGGTTGCAGCTATCGGTCAGGATACTTAGATATACTTGTTAAGGAATAAGACATATTTGTCTCTTTTAATAGTAGTGTCAATATATTAGATAGTTGAAGGCAATCGGCAGGAAGCCTTGGACCTAGGTTTCGTGCTAGTTGGCACTCATCAGCAAGGCGTATCTGCAACCTTGGAGGAACTCATGTCCCTCCTGAGATTCGAACCCGTGTCACTCAGTACTGCAGTGAGTCAGAGACGTTACCACTAAGCTATTCGGGCTGTAGTGGGTATTTCGATTGGACACTAGTAACTAGTGTGACGTATCTAGTCCTTCTTTGGTGCAGACTGAATTCTACCAGTCAGGTTGTAATGTGGCCGCCATTCTAGGTAGCTCGCCATCACGGTGCACATTGATTTGATATTAGATAGTTGGAGGCAATCGGCAGGAAGCCTTGAACCTAGGTTCGTGCTAGTTGACATTCACCAGTCAGCAAGGCGTATCTGCAACCTTGAAAGACGTAGTGTCAATATCATTCACACTTCCATTAGTTCTGTATGCGAATACACCGCTTAATTAATCGGTTTTTCAATGGTCAGATCATCTGAGAGTCTATGATTGGTAGGAGATATAGTATATGTTAGAAATGATGACGAGTGTGAAGGTTGAAAATACCCATGCAGTCATATCGAAGAAAAAGCGTTCACAGAAGAGTTACTCTTTTCCGCGAAGGTGAAATAAAAATCAGGGTGTCCCACTGCCAGATCCTCATACCCTCCAAAGCCTCAGGATGGTCGGGGGTGGGTGCCTTGCGCTGCGGGTTGGCCACCCCTCCGCACACCTCTTGAAATGCTCCCATATGACCGGGCGTCTTACATAGCCTCTCCTGAGGAAGTCCTACTCACTGCCTTCACGTGGCGGAGGTGTTTTTCACCAAAGTGAGAGGGCGAAAGCGGATGCCCGGCGCTCTTCACCGGGTTGACTGTCCATTGGATGACAGTCTAGGGGAGATGGCTAAACCCTGATTCCAAACCTCCAACGACTGGCGTATGAAGCTCACTGGAGCTCACCGGCAGACGTATGGACAAAGGGCTTGTTGGATGTCTGGCCCCATTCAAAAGGCGTATGAACCGAACTCCGGTCACCGACTGCCAATGGATAGTGGACTCCCTACTCCACTCCTACTACCTTGTAGGTCACACTTGGTTGTGTAAAGGCTAGAGCTGCACTCTCAAACAAAAGGCCGAGCGATTGTGGGGACATCAACTTCTATTTCAGTTCACGATATAGCGCGACTGGCCACTAGGCAATGTGTAATGTCATCGGTGAGTGTTTATCAAACTTTGGTGGATGCGTACCGTTGAGAAGTCTCAAAGTAAGTAGGAAGCGGCATTCCAATATTTCCAGGTTTAGTACTGGTTCTCTATCGGTGTCATCTGTTGAGGAAATCTTGCAAGCAGTCGAATTGCTGCAAACCAACAGTTGAAAAAAAATAGATTCAAATGAACTATAATAAGTAGAAATGTATGGGTGAGTGAGTGAGTGAGTGAGTGAGTGAGTGAGTGAGTGAGTGAGTGAGTGAGTGAGTGAGTGAGTGAGTGAGTGAGTGAGTGAGTGAGTGAGTGAGTGCATCACCGATATCGGGAACGATTTTGAAAGATATCACACCAACAGTCTCTGTTGCCGTCATTGGTTCTTAGTTTGCCATTGACCACAACTAGACATTTTACATCCACCTACCTACCTCCGCACCTACCTATATATGTGGCTGACCGAAACCAGTACTCATGGACTTGATGATGAATTGATGTCATGTTTTTGGTTTCACAACCCGTAATTCTTTTCCAAACTATTCGTTTCTTCTATGTCAGCTTGACAAGGAAGACTGTGAATCGGCTTGATGTGTAGAGCTGGCTTACAACTTCATTGTGTGTGACTGGATTTACCCTACTTACTACCTAACACTCTGTACGCCTGCCAACCACCTCAGTATTACTCATCATATTATACCAGCTAAGTAAGACAAAACTGAAGATATAACGCAAAATCCTTTGGTCAAAAATAGCTACCTTCCGTGTTACCCCATTGGTCATAACTTCTCACTAGAACCCAGGTAACTGCTTACCTGAATCTGACCAGTCACTAGTATGCCTTAGGCGAACAAACCCACCCTGTATAGGAAAAAAATAATCACCACTACTAACGAAACTTCAAAGCTGAACCTTCAAGTCCTCCCACCCCACCTCACCCCTGCAATACTCCATTCGTAACGTAAAGGAATCAATTTGTAAACTACCTAATATCGTTGTTTGTTTTTTTTTGCATGCGAAAATTACGATTATTTGTTCTGGGTTATTTGATTTAAATTGTAATACACTACTTTTTTAAGTATATTTTCCTAATCCTCCTTTTTGTTCTGCTTCTTTTCTGTTGTTGCTGTTGTTGATGTTGTCAAACACAAACAGTTTCTGATTGTGATGATCCGAAGGAGATGATTACTACTACTACTACTACTACTACTACTACTACTACTACTACTACTACTACTACTACTACTACTACTACTACTACTACTACTACTACGGCGACGACAACGAATACTGCTGCTACTGTTGCTGCTCGTCCTCCTCTTCCTTCATGTAGTAGCCCTATTGAATATGTAAATAAACTATTTAATAATAAATATGTAAAGAGAAAAGCATCAACAACAACAACTTCGGAAACTAGTGGTATTACACCTAATAAACGTGTGTGTCCATCACTAAACAAAGGTGATTGCAACAACAACAGCGTACAAGGTAGTTGTCATCGCATTATTGAAGGTGTTGGTGTTAGTGCTAGTGTTGGAGGTGATGATAATGACCAACTGAGTTCAACTAATAATTCTGCTACTACTACTCCTTGTGTTGACGAGGGGGCGCAAGAACAGGTCAGCAGCGGCGGAGGAGGGACATCACGTAGTTCTGATGATACAAATGTTACTGAAATGTAAGTTTCAGTGTTAACAGTATTTTCAAGTGTTGTTTTTGCAAAGATTTGATTGTTTACAGGATTTCGTCATGAGTTGACATCAGTTAGAGAAGCATCGGGAAACCAGCTGGGGGAGAATTACACAGCCAGACATCTATTTCATCGGTCTGGTTTAGTAGGACACTTCAGCAGTAGGCACTCACCCCCACTAAAGTTCGAACCCAGTACCTTTCAGTGACAAGGCTAGCGAGCTAGCTCGTAGACCATTAAGCCACTGGGATCAGCCCGATTCAATGGCCAGCCAGCCCATGAATTCTAACTTCTACCAATTCACGGCATAGCGCGATCACTAGCCCCAATGTCTTCGGCGAGTATTTGTCTGCAAGTAGTATCAAGAAATCTCTGATCATTCGAGATTAATCGAAATCTGAATATGATGAATCTGTCCCTTGTTGTTGTTGTTAGTGCTTAACGAGTTGATGTCATGAAGGTGGTCTAACGGAATGTCGTCGCCGGTGAGGTTTCACCATGTCATAGGCGTGATGTTTATGCTTATATATATATATATATATATATATATATATATATATAACCCACAATGACAGATACATAATATCTTGAAAAGAAAAGAAAAATAATAACTGAATCACTCACTTATAAGTTATCTGACATACAGGCGGATATGATACAACTCCACTTGGTATTGTTGGTCTATCAAACGCTGACCTGAAATAAGCAAAATTCCAATTTAGATGTCGTATTCACGAATGCACATTGTTTAGAAAAGAATTGAAAGGCATGAGGAGAGAGCTGACCCGTCCCTAGTAAGCGTGTGTCTTCACAAGGTGCACAACCCCATAACCCCATTGTGGATTGAAACCAGGACCCTTCGACTTACAAGGAAGGCCTGGTCATTGATAATTCAACTAATAGGTTGGAATTAAATCAGCTGTGAATTCTATTCTCCGTCAAATTTGCAATGATATAAAGTGTTAATGCAATCACCAGTGCCACACAAATGAGCATAAACATCACGCCTATGACATGGTGAAACCTCACCGGCGACGACATTCCGTTAGACCACCTTCATGACATCAACTCGTTAAGCACTAACAACAACAACAAGGGACAGATTCATCATATTCAGATTTCGATTAATCTCGAATGATCAGAGATTTCTTGATACTACTTGCAGACAAATACTCGCCGAAGACATTGGGGCTAGTGATCGCGCTATGCCGTGAATTGGTAGAAGTTAGAATTCATGGGCTGGCTGGCCATTGAATCGGGCTGATCCCAGTGGCTTAATGGTCTACGAGCTAGCTCGCTAGCCTTGTCACTGAAAGGTACTGGGTTCGAACTTTAGTGGGGGTGAGTGCCTACTGCTGAAGTGTCCTACTAAACCAGACCGATGAAATAGATGTCTGGCTGTGTAATTCTCCCCCAGCTGGTTTCCCGATGCTTCTCTAACTGATGTCAACTCATGACGAAATCCTGTAAACAATCAAATCTTTGCAAAAACAACACTTGAAAATACTGTTAACACTGAAACTTACATTTCAGTAACATTTGTATCATCAGAACTACGTGATGTCCCTCCTCCGCCGCTGCTGACCTGTTCTTGCGCCCCCTCGTCAACACAAGGAGTAGTAGTAGCAGAATTATTAGTTGAACTCAGTTGGTCATTATCATCACCTCCAACACTAGCACTAACACCAACACCTTCAATAATGCGATGACAACTACCTTGTACGCTGTTGTTGTTGCAATCACCTTTGTTTAGTGATGGACACACACGTTTATTAGGTGTAATACCACTAGTTTCCGAAGTTGTTGTTGTTGATGCTTTTCTCTTTACATATTTATTATTAAATAGTTTATTTACATATTCAATAGGGCTACTACATGAAGGAAGAGGAGGACGAGCAGCAACAGTAGCAGCAGTATTCGTTGTCGTCGCCGTAGTAGTAGTAGTAGTAGTAGTAGTAGTAGTAGTAGTAGTAGTAGTAGTAGTAGTAGTAGTAGTAATCATCTCCTTCGGATCATCACAATCAGAAACTGTTTGTGTTTGACAACATCAACAACAGCAACAACAGAAAAGAAGCAGAACAAAAAGGAGGATTAGGAAAATATACTTAAAAAAGTAGTGTATTACAATTTAAATCAAATAACCCAGAACAAATAATCGTAATTTTCGCATGCAAAAAAAAACAAACAACGATATTAGGTAGTTTACAAATTGATTCCTTTACGTTACGAATGGAGTATTGCAGGGGTGAGGTGGGGTGGGAGGACTTGAAGGTTCAGCTTTGAAGTTTCGTTAGTAGTGGTGATTATTTTTTTCCTATACAGGGTGGGTTTGTTCGCCTAAGGCATACTAGTGACTGGTCAGATTCAGGTAAGCAGTTACCTGGGTTCTAGTGAGAAGTTATGACCAATGGGGTAACACGGAAGGTAGCTATTTTTGACCAAAGGATTTTGCGTTATATCTTCAGTTTTGTCTTACTTAGCTGGTATAATATGATGAGTAATACTGAGGTGGTTGGCAGGCGTACAGAGTGTTAGGTAGTAAGTAGGGTAAATCCAGTCACACACAATGAAGTTGTAAGCCAGCTCTACACATCAAGCCGATTCACAGTCTTCCTTGTCAAGCTGACATAGAAGAAACGAATAGTTTGGAAAAGAATTACGGGTTGTGAAACCAAAAACATGACATCAATTCATCATCAAGTCCATGAGTACTGGTTTCGGTCAGCCACATATATAGGTAGGTGCGGAGGTAGGTAGGTGGATGTAAAATGTCTAGTTGTGGTCAATGGCAAACTAAGAACCAATGACGGCAACAGAGACTGTTGGTGTGATATCTTTCAAAATCGTTCCCGATATCGGTGATGCACTCACTCACTCACTCACTCACTCACTCACTCACTCACTCACTCACTCACTCACTCACTCACTCACTCACTCACTCACTCACTCACTCACTCACCCATACATTTCTACTTATTATAGTTCATTTGAATCTATTTTTTTCAACTGTTGGTTTGCAGCAATTCGACTGCTTGCAAGATTTCCTCAACAGATGACACCGATAGAGAACCAGTACTAAACCTGGAAATATTGGAATGCCGCTTCCTACTTACTTTGAGACTTCTCAACGGTACGCATCCACCAAAGTTTGATAAACACTCACCGATGACATTACACATTGCCTAGTGGCCAGTCGCGCTATATCGTGAACTGAAATAGAAGTTGATGTCCCCACAATCGCTCGGCCTTTTGTTTGAGAGTGCAGCTCTAGCCTTTACACAACCAAGTGTGACCTACAAGGTAGTAGGAGTGGAGTAGGGAGTCCACTATCCATTGGCAGTCGGTGACCGGAGTTCGGTTCATACGCCTTTTGAATGGGGCCAGACATCCAACAAGCCCTTTGTCCATACGTCTGCCGGTGAGCTCCAGTGAGCTTCATACGCCAGTCGTTGGAGGTTTGGAATCAGGGTTTAGCCATCTCCCCTAGACTGTCATCCAATGGACAGTCAACCCGGTGAAGAGCGCCGGGCATCCGCTTTCGCCCTCTCACTTTGGTGAAAAACACCTCCGCCACGTGAAGGCAGTGAGTAGGACTTCCTCAGGAGAGGCTATGTAAGACGCCCGGTCATATGGGAGCATTTCAAGAGGTGTGCGGAGGGGTGGCCAACCCGCAGCGCAAGGCACCCACCCCCGACCATCCTGAGGCTTTGGAGGGTATGAGGATCTGGCAGTGGGACACCCTGATTTTTATTTCACCTTCGCGGAAAAGAGTAACTCTTCTGTGAACGCTTTTTCTTCGATATGACTGCATGGGTATTTTCAACCTTCACACTCGTCATCATTTCTAACATATACTATATCTCCTACCAATCATAGACTCTCAGATGATCTGACCATTGAAAAACCGATTAATTAAGCGGTGTATTCGCATACAGAACTAATGGAAGTGTGAATGATATTGACACTACGTCTTTCAAGGTTGCAGATACGCCTTGCTGACTGGTGAATGTCAACTAGCACGAACCTAGGTTCAAGGCTTCCTGCCGATTGCCTCCAACTATCTAATATCAAATCAATGTGCACCGTGATGGCGAGCTACCTAGAATGGCGGCCACATTACAACCTGACTGGTAGAATTCAGTCTGCACCAAAGAAGGACTAGATACGTCACACTAGTTACTAGTGTCCAATCGAAATACCCACTACAGCCCGAATAGCTTAGTGGTAACGTCTCTGACTCACTGCAGTACTGAGTGACACGGGTTCGAATCTCAGGAGGGACATGAGTTCCTCCAAGGTTGCAGATACGCCTTGCTGATGAGTGCCAACTAGCACGAAACCTAGGTCCAAGGCTTCCTGCCGATTGCCTTCAACTATCTAATATATTGACACTACTATTAAAAGAGACAAATATGTCTTATTCCTTAACAAGTATATCTAAGTATCCTGACCGATAGCTGCAACCTTGAAGTGATGGTCAGGTTTGCACATATATCGCAATGACCCAACGACGGATTACACTGTTTTGGCGAAGTCGTGCTGCTAACGAGTAGAGATGTCAACAGGAGAGAAAGGAGTTTACCTCAGATGACCAGCAAGTCAACAATGTTGCCTTTTCACTCTGGGTGGTAAGTAGGAGGCTAGAAAAGATCGTCCTCGAAGACTGTAAATCCCGACTTACCTTACACAGTGGTAGGTTCTTAACACGAACACAATCCTAAAACACAAATTCAAAGAAGGTCATGTATGACCGGTCTGAAACTGCTGTCCCCATGGCTGAGGTTACACAACACTAATGCGCTTACTTTTAGAGGTATTTCCAAGGAAAAATCAAATTTCATGGTGTGGGTAATCGAGAAGTGACAACCACCCACACACTTCCTAAAGCACACAACGTTCGCCTGATCACCAGTCATATGGGTTGATATATGGAATAACACATACTGCCAAACAAAGGTTATTATGAACAGCTCGTATACACATAGCATCCTAGGAAACTCAATCAATCTCCTGTAAGGAAATTTAAACAGGATGTCATAACTGTTTATTTACGTCAATTTGTATTTCCTGGGTGTAGACTGACCAATTACTATGGAAGTAGGACGTAACAGCTTCCCAGTGATCGAAGTGATGCACACACATAGGACGTCCGTTTCGTCAGTTTACGGTTCGAGCTCTTCATTGACCAATGTGTAAGCGGTTAGATTCAGTTAACAAAGCCGAGTCAGTTCAAAAACCAAACAAATTCTGGCTAGCATTTTAAGGCGACGATGACGTTACATAGAATCGAATTTGCGGTTGACCAATTAATTACATAGACACATAGTAGAAGTGACCATTCACTTCGATGGGTTCCCTTTGGAATAATCAAAGAAACCAATTCTAATTGCACGATTATTTCTACAGCAAACTGTGATAAAATTTGTAAACTGTGCCATCCTTCATTCATTCCAAAATGAATTATCAAAAAATAGTGTTTTTGTATAAAACTAACCTTTAGCATTTTCATTCCACCAAGTAGCCATACTAGGAGAAAATAAGAAACAGGAAAAACAACACACGGTAAGGTTGGTTAACACATTAAGCAAAATAAAATGGAAGGGTATCTCACATACAATTAAAGTAGTAGAGGGGCGCACTTGGTCAAGTGGCAGAAAGCTCGCCTCTTAGCATGCCAGAGCTACTTGGATAAACGCCCAGGTATTCCAACAAGTCACTTAGTGGTAGAATACTCGTCGATCACCCATGCGGTCCGGGACTCGATCGATGATCCCCAGCTGACGTACTTCTAGAACTGGTTTAACCGGCAGTAAGCCCGGTAAATAGCGGGAAAGTTGGGTGTGAGTGAGGCTAGCAACCCTACATCGTGAAAAACAAACAGCACTGCTGCTAATGAAACTCCAAAGCTCAAGCCTGGAAAGCCCAAAGTTCCACTAAGGAGCTAAAGTCTAAACTCCAGTTATAATTAGTTCTCCAAGGAGCATTGGACAGTCATTTCTTCCTTGTTTGGGAAAATACAACAGTACTAATCCATGTTCTCACCGAGAATAGGACCCACAACCTTCAAGCCTACACAAGGCCAGTTCAACGTTTAAATCAATCGAATCCCTAAGACCTACAGATGAAATTCAATTTAGTGCTCACTGGTGACTCATTACAGCATGAAGTTGGCCGACGTTTTTAATTGAAGAGGTCATGACCAGAGCGTCCCACCGAGTTCTGTGAGCCTAACTGCTCGCTGAAGATATTGACTGGCGACTGCGTCATATATATCGCGAATGGTTGGAGTTAGATTTATGGACAACTGGGTTTTGTCCCAATGGTTGAGTGGTGTAGGAGCTCGGGTTGTAACCAGAACGTTCCGGGTTCAATTCCCGGCGGCGACATAGGTGTGTAAGCTTAAGGTACACAAACAACAATAACAACAACAAAACAGCTGTACAACACCCCCTAGTTTTCAAAGATGCTCTAACTGCTGTCAAATCGTGATCAATCTCGAGATCAGTCAAATCCCTTCAAAGAAACAAGTGAAAAATCAGAAAAGTTGATGACACCCGTAGTGTGAAGAATAGTGGACAACAATGTCGACTGATGTAGATAATTGGTAGAGTCAATAAATATATGCAGCATGAGTGATAAATGAAAAACTGGAATGTCTTTCTTTCAGAGAAAAGAACATGACCACTGACTGAAAGGGTACTTTGTAGGTCTTTGAACTCTTCGACTATTAATTCGCCCCCCCCCCCCCCCAAGAAACAGCGTAGGATAGAAACGACAGAATACAAGGGCCAGGCAACAGTTTGTTTATTGGGAAAATCAAGAGGTATTTATAGATTTTTATGTACATTATTATTCGTTATTGTTAGCGGAGAGGCGAGCGTCTTCTGATTGGTTGTTTTCTTGCTGAAGGTTATCCTGTCATATCTTTGTGGCCGTTTCTCAGACACTCCGGTCATGTATCTGCGAATCGTATCTGCCCAGGTTGGTGACTTTCTCAAGGTTAAACTTTGTTATTGTTTTTCTCATGACCCCGATTCAGGAAGTGAACACTGACGTAAATTGTTGTTTAGAATTTTGGCTTGTAGCCAGCTCTCACCACAGGATCATCACTTGGTAACTGGAGAGCAATACAACCATCTCAATCATTCTTCAAACTCATTTGTCGAGTAGAAATTCGGCTACAGCTGCAACTTTAATACCATCTGCATTCAACGCTTCATCTTCTTTAGAAGAAGCTTTTATGTGGCGGATTCTGGTGCCTACACAAAGAGTAGACTTTTTTCATTCTTCGGACTGTAACTGATGGAAAGAAACAACGTCGTGAAACTTCCTGTCAAATCGAATAAGAGCGCCTGTATAGATATTTATAGAGAGAGGATTCTTTCCATTCCTCTGAGATAAAAGAAACTGGAGTGGAACTCTTTACACTTCGACTGATCATACTTCCCGATTTTGCACAGATAGAACTCGATGCATTATGGTAGTCCAGATTCTTTATTCTCTGTTTGATTTTTAACTTTAATTTGCATGGTTTTATTGAAGGCAAACTGTTCAAATAATGCCTCAAGTGATAAACTGTTGTATACTTCTTCCACAGAATAGTTATCACGATAGAACGATTGAATAAAGCAGAAGCCATCAGTGTCGACAGAGTCAAACCAGCGTTCATAGATGATTTCGAAGCCAACGATAAAGCTCAGCTGAACGACATGCCAACACCTACATCCACGCAAGCTTCAACGTCGCCAGAGAAACCTGTGAAAACTACACGCTCTGGTAGGAGAGTTCATTGGCCTAAACGTAACGTGCAAATCATCAATATATAACTTATTACGAATTTTCATATTAATTATCTTTATTCGTAATTGTCATTTGGCTACTCATTTAACTGATTAATATTTTCATACGTCAATCACGACACTACTATTTTAACTTCGATATTTCCTGTATTATTACATTTAATCATATAGCGCTTAATATTCACGTATCCTTTCCGTCTACAGATTACAGATTCCCCGGCCGATTTTATCATTCCTTACATATTCTACCATGATTATCAATCCTATTTTTTCCTTTATTATCGCATTTATTATCGACCTTATTAACCGCATTCAACTGCTCACTTTTCAGCTTAATAAATCGCTTTCTATGTACTATCTCTGCTGCATATTACGCTGATGCATGTTTTTGTCGAACACTTAAATGTATTTTTTTATATTTCAGTGTTCTGGTGGGGGAATTATGTAGTACCCCTATACCAACTATAAACATACGCTTTTAATCTAATTTGCATACTTATATTATGTGTTCACACAGACCAATTTTATATGTACTTCGTAAACATTTGTCAATTTTACTGTTGAACGTTACCTGGATACAATTTTGAAATTTGACTACTGCTATAATACACGGTTACACTCTTCACAAGTGCCTTCTGATTTTACGTTGTGGGCGTCGAGTAGCCACAACGTCTGCGCACATTGATAAACGTGAAGAAGTACTAGGAAATACGTGTACGCTAATTTGGTCAAATAGAGCACGCAACATAAACACCTCATGAAGTAGATTATATTAGGAAACACCATTAAAAATATTAAGTGTTCCAATCATTTCGATTGGAAGTTGTCGCTCGCGTCATCGAAGGTATGGATATTTTGAGTCATTCTGCCTACAAATAATAAGAAACAGCTTGATGCTCTCAGTGCCTGAAGAAGAGGACTCAGAAAGAGAATAGCAGAAAAACCATTTCAATGAATTAAACGGATTAATCACCGCCAATGTAATAGTTTTACTCAATTGGCTTTGATAAGAAACCAACCAAATCACCAAATATTTAATTCATCAATGTCATGAATATGAGATTGTCCCAGACTTTGGCTGTGAATATGAATCTTCAAACAGTTTCTAACATACGTAAACATCTCAATTGAAAGGATGAAGATGTGCTGTTTCTTAGCCAACAGTTGCTTAAAGTAAACGGCATTAGATAAATGACTCAAAAATGCAACATTGTGGTGAACAATCACACTTATGTGCAGTCTGTCTGAATACCCAGCTAGCATTTTCTTCGGGGGCACTGCAGACATTTCGGGGCACACTTAGGGCGCATAGCAGACTTTCATTGTTTTCAACTACATTTGAAAATAAGAATTCAGTATATAAAATCAACTGCTAAATAACTACTATAATAATAACTTATAGATCAGAATCTAATGAACGATACGGTTGATTAAAACGTCCATGTACATACTTTATTAGGTTTTTTAATAATAATAATAATAATAATTTTTGCTTTATTCCAAAAACAGTATTAATGATACAGCAAGGAATTTTCAGCATTCAGTACAGTATTGCATCTAATTTACTCAAAAACGACAACAACAAAAAAAAATTGATAAACGGAATAATTAATACATAATAATGATAACAAAACGTTTTTATAGGAGCTATGTAGCAATTACAGTATAGGATAAGGAGAAAAATATAAAATTATAATAATAATAGTAATAACAACTAAAATAAAAATAGCAAAGTTATAATTAAACGATAGAAAGGGTGACACCATAGAATTACAGAAAGATGAACAATGAAAGGGTCGATTCACTATGCTAATTACACAGTAACTTATATGTTTCACGTCTAACAGTGTCATCATCACATAAAATACGGGCTAAATACGGTATTGTAGAATTTTTGTACTTAGTGGTACGAGCATATAATTTCTTATATTGACTTCTCGTTCTACCTGATGAGATACAAGGGGATAATTGTGAATAAAGAGGGTGCAGAGGGTCTGACAGTACGGCCTTTGCCCAATTTGTACAGGAATTTACGTGTCTCTCGACTATGGTATTGGCGAGCTCACGCAGTGGCAAACCACAAGCCCTACTCACAGCATTTAATACCCTTCGTAATACGGCATAGTCTTTTTTAAGAAGCCCAGGAAAGATTAATGGAGAACAATAAAGTAAAATGGGTAAAATACAGGAGTTTAAAAATTGCAGAACTAAAGGTTGGCTGATACCTTGTTGTCTTAACTTTTTAATGTAGAAGGTAAGACGAAACACTTTCTTAGAGACCAATAAAATGTGAGATGACCATGAAAGGTCAGAGGAAAGAAGTAATCCAAGGTATTTAATGCTTGATTTGGTTTCAATTTCTGTACCATCTATGCTACAGGAACCATGGGAACTAACTAGTTCATGTATGTCACGTCGATGGTTGAAGGTAAAGTTAACTGCCTGATATTTGTAAGGATTTAACATAAGACCATTTGACTTAGACCACATGCTGATGTCCGACAGAAAGCTATTAAGTTTGGAGCAGTCAGACTCAGAAGTGATAGGCAGTGATACAGTCAGATCATCCGCATATTTGACAAAATTGGTTTCGTTTAAATGTGGCAGGTCATGTAGGAAGAAAGAAAAAAGAAAGGGAGAGAGGACGGCACCTTGAGGAACACCGGCTTTTGTAAGCAAAGCAGAAGAAGATTTGCCATTATATGCAGTATACTGCATTCTATCAGA